TTTGAGATGAAGAGTTTCTCCTGTGGTATAGAAACGTGGTGTAAAAACAGATGCAAGGCTGTACAACCTCTTACAATAACATATGGGTTTCCCCCATGGTTCCCTTTGAGACCCATATAGATTACCCACTTTTATTCTATGCGATGTCCTAATAAAAATGTTTATATGGAACCTACAGGGTTTACTAATATAGGTAAGCAGGTCATCTTAAACAGGTGTTTTATCCATACATGCCTGTTTGTGATACCTATATATTTTCTTTAAATACAAGTAATATGGTACAAGTAATCTTTGCTTTTCTTAACTTTAAACTGTAAACCCATCACCCAATCAGACTCCTCCTGTTGAAAACATTTTTCTTTCTCTTAACTGTTCCCAAAGAACGCAAAACAAACGGATTGTTTTTTCATTACATTGTATCTTGATTCCATGCTTATTATCTATGATGCCTGGCTTTCACATGTTAGCAATGCCCAGTGATTTAACAGTAGGAATCTAATGTTGTTTTTGCAATATAAGTGGAAATTGTTAATGCAATAATTTATTTGTAATAATTTGTTTCTTTAGTGAAAAAAAAATTGTGAAAAATTGCGAAATTAAAAAAAAAACTTACAACAACTATGTGAAACAAACAACATTAGGCTTAAAGAAGAAATGAAAAGAAAAAAAAAAGGAATTTTCTTTTAAAGCAAGCTTTACACTAAATTATTTAAAAACTATCAAATTTATTATTTATTGTTCAAACTGTTAGCAACAGTTGAATTATACTGTTAAATACTTTCAATAATTGCTGCAAATAGAAAATTAGCCGTTATTTTTTTTCTTTTTTCTTTTCGAGCTCTTCCTTTAAAAATTTCCTTATTAATTAATACATTTATTTTCATTAACTTTCCTTCCCTGTCGTTTACCTTTTTGGTTTTGATGTTATGAAGCCTGCATTTTCTTCTGCAATATAATTCAAATTCAATACTGGCTTGATTAAAAGATTTTGCAGATAATTGTGAATTTAGCCGATTTTAAAATAATTCGGATTTAGTTCACATCGCCAACGTCACTTCGCCGAAACGATTACTTCACCGGCAGCTCATTTCGCCGACAAGATCATGACGCCGACAGTTCATTTAATCTACGCGATCACATTGCCGACAGCTCATCTCGCTGACATGATAACTTCACCAACATCTCATTTCGTCGACACAATCACTTCGCCGACATGATCATTTCACAAATATAATTATTTCGCTGACAAAATCAATTCAATATTGATTCATTTTTCTGACAAAATTTCTTTATAATTGTTCAAGTTTTTTACTCTGAGAAACTTGACTTCCTTAAAGGCATTATTTTGCGGTAATTATAAAAATATGTTATTACGTCTACTGTCCTACATACAATTTTATCATAGCCCTACGTATAATTTATTATTTCATTGTTATACTTTTACGCCCTTCATTTAAAATTTCGTCATTAGAATTATGATTTCGAATAACCCCGCCTGGGAAACAATTGCTTAGATAACCCCCTGTTTGCTTTGTTCACCAACCCCAGTAGTTGATTCGTATTCATTGAACATCAATGGAGAAGAACGGTTTTTTAAATATTTTTTTTAACCGTCGTTGAACAGCCGAAACAATTTTTGGATTTACGACTACTAATGTTCAACTCTGTGATATAACGTATAATTTTTCCTCCTTTTCCCTTCTTCACTCAGATACTTCCCAAAATCACAATTGGCCAAATAAATGGTAACCAGTTAACAACACAAATATTTATTAACAAAGAAAAAAAATGAAGTTTGAAGAAAATTAATATAACCAATCCACCTAAACAATTCGCTTCCGCTCTCCATCAGAGCGTTCCCTCCTCTGTCTTTTTACAACATCTACCTTGATGACAGCGCCATCACAACATGGAGGCATGACAAACTCTATAGCCTTTTAATTTTGAACCCAATCCGGAAGATAAGGAAACTCCTGGCTCAAGTATTGGGAGAAATTTGCCTTCGTGGAGGACTTACTGATGGAACTAACCGGTATTGGCAATACATGGAGAGGAAGACCACGAGAACCTCCCACGGGTAGCCTGACGGCAAGCGGACTCTAACCCATTATCCTTCTACCACTGAGGATATTTCACGTCAGCACTGTGGTCGGTGCAAGCCGGATGCGGAATTCGTATCGCTGGGATCGAACCCCAGTTCACCTGATTGGAAGGCGAACGCTCTATCCCTTGAGCCATCGAGCTCTTATGACATATTTTATAACCGTCGTTGAACAGCCGAAACAATTTTTGGATTTACGACTACTAATGTTCAACTCTATAGCCTTTTAATTTTGAACCCAATCCGGAAGATAAGGAAACTCCTGGCTCAAGTATTGGGAGAAATTTTCCTTCGTGGAGGACTTACTGATGGAACTAACCCGCATTTGCGTTACATGGAGAGGAAGATCACGAGGACTTTTCACTGTTACCTGACGGCAAGGAGACTCTAACCCATGATCCGTCTACCACTGAGGATATTTCACGTGTCAGCACTGTGGTTGGTGCAAGTTGGGCGCAGATTCGTATCGACCAACCATCGCTGGGATCGAACCAGGGTCGATCCCAGGAAATGGGAGGCGAACGCTCTATCCCCTGAGTCATCACAGCTCTTATGACATATTTTATAAAAATTACTATGGGAATTTAATCTGTTGCATTTTGAGCATTACCAAGTTTTGGCAAATCAATAATATGGTAAAATCGATCCCTGCCCGAGTGGTTATAACAAAGGGGAAAGCAGGCTGTGTTGTGGAAAAGCAATTCATGTTTGTGTGCAAATTAAATTTTTTTCTTAGAATCAGCTTCAGCGAACGTAAACCGATCTTCCCCCTTGGCTTTCTTAAAAAGTTTTTATCTTTAAAGGCGATAAACAAGGATCATTTCGTTTATAAGATGTATAATTATTAAAATTTTGAGTTAACACATTTTATTAATACGTCAATCGTGACGAAATGGAGAGATGGATTTGAAAAACAATCAACTGTGCTTGAAAATATAATTTAACTTAGGAATACAGGACATGTGTCACAAAAAGAAATGCGAAGTAATTTTACTTGTTAACAATATATTACGATTACCTTATAGCATGTAAAACTTCGCATTGAAAACAGTTTTTGCCTCGCTTCTGCTTTTATATTTTTAAAAATTTCGGTATAAATGGTGAGATTTATATCTGGCAACATTTAATCTCTCTCTCTCTCATCTTTTATTTATTCATTTCTTGTTTTTTTTGTTTTCACTTTTGACAGCAAGTCAAGCCAACACCTCCTAGGAGAAAGAAGGCCTCAGCACGAATAAATTTAATAGTCCGACTTAACGAACATAAACTGAGGAGTGGCTGAAAAATAAGAAAGATGTCCCTACGTTCGGGCTGCAAAGTTACACAGTGGTGGTAAATATGACAGATGACATTACGTTTGGACTACTAAAGGATAACATTTCTTGTTTATGGTAACCCGCGTTGAGGCCTTCTCTTTTTTAGGAGGTATTGGTCAAGCTCGAATTCAGAAAATGAAAATTGCGAGAGAGATCAATTTTTCTTCAATAATAGATAAATAATTATTTAAAGAAATAAAAATGCAAATAAACGTTTAAACTTTAAAAAACTTTCGAACAAATAAGAATTTTGAAAACACTTTAGTTAATTTTCTAATTTGAAATGGTTCTATCAGCACGTCAAATTTCATTTCTGTAGTATATTTCAGCGAACAAACGTGTTTCCCCTCCAATTTTATTAGTTAATCATTCTCGAACTAATAATCGAATTGTATTTTTTTTCCATCGAACTTTTTGTACATTTTTCTACACACCTGGCTGGGATAATTTGGTTGGGCGTTTGGCCTATGTCTAAGAGGTTGTCAGTTTGATCCCAGCGGGGCGAAGACTCCCGTGTAGTAAATGGTGACTGATGCAAGTTAAGTTCTTCATGTTCCCATAACAAATTACACCTCTGGGGATACTGGATTGGAGATTGATCGTTCTTTGGTTTAGATCAAAATTACGATCTGTGGATGAATAAATTGATGCATATATGGATCCGGCCTATAAATGAGCTAATGTCACAAGAAATAATTTGATACTTTGGAGATTATCTCGAAATAACTCCCACCCGCCACCTTTCATTTTCAAACTCTGAAAAATTTTACTCATTATTTGAACTTCAATTTTTCAAAACTGATAGAAAAGATGCTTATCATTTCTTCCTTTAAATATCACCGAAACATATGAAATATTTCTACTTAGATATATCATGGTGTAAGGAGTTAAACATATGATCATAAAGTATTGGAATTTGAAAAAAAATGACGTATTGTGCATTAGTATTTTTCATAATAGAGAACAAATTTTTGCCATTTTTTTATTTCTGATGCATAATAAGTGAAAATATAACTTCAAACAGACAATATTTTATTCGCAATCGTACCACTCGAATGCTCCATTTGGGGAAAAGACCGATTCTATGTTTTGACCCTCTTCCTTTCCCTCCTCTCCTCTTCTCAGTTGTATGCTAATGTACTACAAAATTTTTCCCTTCCATAATATTTTTCGAATTTAAAAAAATTATATTGTTATTGCTGCATTGTCAGAAATATTTTCTATAATTTTCACGATCTTTCTTTTATAGCTATGTGAAATGTAATTTTGAGTTTTATACAGTATTCTAACTTAAATTTTCTTCCTCCGTTTGAAAATCAAGACAGAAACTAACGTTCTTCCTTCTCCTATTACTCTCCACTCGCTAATGGAGAAAGTATGTGAAGTATTGAAATATTGTAGACTGCCCTGCTCCACCTGCAGCCCATTTCGATCGCCAACGCAAAACTCAGCACTGTTTTCGTTAAGTTACCGAAGCCTCCACTATGGCAGTAAAAATGCATCTTAAAAATTTCCTGAACAACAACTGAAATGAACTGAAGTAAGATATTCAATTTTCCACTTCCGGCGTTTTGTGATGTAAACAAATGTGGATGCACGCAATGCAAATCACGTTAATGGATTTAAAGTGATAATAATTTTCCTTTTTTTACTATTTAACATGATATTTTTATGTATTTTAATTTAAATATGTTTGTGACACTTTATACTTGTCCAGTCTAACGTTTTATAATAGACATTTAATATGAAATATGTATGCTTTATTGTGTTTTGAACTGAAAATTGATTTAACTCTTAAGTTCTAGTTAAAAATATTGTAGAGTTTTAATCTTTCTATTCCTAGATTTGATGGCTTTCTTTGGATTTGATTTTTATGTTTATTAGTAAAATTTTTGTATTGCAAATATTGTCCTTTTATTTTAGAAAGTCTGTTGAATAGTTACGAGTAATGACCGAGAAAAAAATCTTAGAATATGAAACCTATTTGAATGACGTTTTAAGAGAAGACTTAAAGTGTGTATTGTCTCAGCGAGAGAATCTTTGCCAAGAAGTTCTTGATTTAGAACAATTAAAAACTGTAATTGAACGTTTACAAGAAGCAGAATTAAATAAAGAAACCATTAAGACTAGAGTAGATTTGGGTTGCAATTTTTACGCTCAAGCTAATATCACTGACACTAAATATATATTTATCAAAACTGGGTTGGATATTTTTGTCCAATTTACATTGGAAGAGGCAACTAAGTTTATTGATAAGAAAATAGATTTCTTGAAGAAGAAAATTGATCATACTTTGAAGAAGAGTTCTGAGATTAACGCTCATATACAGTTGATTTTGCAAGGTTTGAGAGAGCTGCAACATTTGACTTACGTAACTGAGACACCTAGGAGAGAAGTTTTGTAAAAAAAAAATTATGTTGGAACTTGCAGGTAAAATATTTGTATTGAAATTATTGTTCATTTTCATGATGTATTTAAGCTTGTATAATAGAATGGTTGATACCAATATGATGGCAATGTTTTACAAATGTCACTAAACAGGGGTCTGTCTCGATTTTTCTGAGAGGTACCTATTTTGTGAAAATTTAGACATAATTTGTGAAAAATTAGGCATAATTTGTGAAAATTAAAAATTATATTAAAGAATCAACACAAAAATATGGATTTATTGTTTCTTACGGGATACAAAAATAAAATTTTAAGAAAAAGTATTGTGTGAAACTACCGTTTTTCCTAAAGTTGAATTTGTGAAGGTACCACGAAATGGTAGTAAATTTGGCCTAGACAGACCCCTGCTAAACTCGTGCTTAGACTACAAATTTGCCACCTTGAAGTATGTTTGAAATGTGCAAAATGGTAAAAGAAAAAAAAATTTCTTTTTCAGCATCAAACTCCGGCCCTTTAATTTTTTTATTATTATTTATTTTATTGTTCCACGCGTAGGTTCTGAATAGTTAATATGATGAAAAAAGTTAAGTGCTGATTTTCTTCCCCCATGAGCATAAGACAGGCTCAGAGCCATCAAAGAGAGAGAGCAAAATGTCCACTGTCTGGAAAAAAAGGAAGAAAGTGGTGTCAACTGTTTCTTGAGGTTATTGTAAATTGCGAAGGTTTTACTTTTACCTAAATTTAAGGAAAAAATTTTTTTTTAGTTGTAACACATATATTTAATTTATAAATATTTTTGGGCAACAGTAATTAGTTCCAACATTTTGTTTCCTCGATCTTTTCCTACCTGTTTTTTAATTTTTCGGGAAAGTTAATGAGGGTGCTCCATCACCCCCTTTTCTCATGATGTCAAAGATGAGGTGTAAATTTAAATGTTGAAATTTCAAATGCTTCGGGTTGTGCTGCGCTTTGCATTAATCTATTGATAATATAATTGTCCATCAAATAAAATGCTATCTTTTGCTCTTTTTAGAATTTTACAATTTTTAGATGATTAATTTTTAATATATTTTGTTCATTTTTACTTTCACTATTTTTTTCATATATTTATTTTCTTGGTCTCAGATTTTTTTATTTTATAACTGTGGTTGAACAGCCAACCCAACTTTGTGTTTACGATTACTAGTGTTCAACTCCGTAGCCTTGTAATTTTGAACCAATCCAGAAGACAAGGAAACTCTTGGATCAGTAAAGATGCCATCTTTTCTGCCACTGATCTTGATGATTCAGGCCAAACTTTTTATGTCTATGTCTGATAAATAAACATAGTAAATGAATTGTTGAATTCAAGATAAGTAAGAATAGGCCTGCGAATTAAAGTAAATAGGAAATCGTTTCAATCTTAAAAAATTTCATAATAATCTATAAAATAATTATATTCTTTTTTAAAGTTTATTATGAATTATGCAATGGTGCATATGTAATATGATTCATATATAAAATATATTTATGTTAAAGAAAATATTATTTAGCAATAGTTACTTCTTTTTTAAAAAATCTAGATTACTAATTTAAGATTATTTTGTCTTTGCAGCTTTTACACAGTCTGATAGTGACTCTGATTGTGATATTCCAAAGTTTGAAATTTCTGCGTTTAAAAAGTATGAATCATCATCAGTTCCTGAAACTATAGGAAGTTCAAATTTCCATAACAAAAGGTACTTTTTATTAATATTTGTATTCCAAAATATTTTATGCAATTTTAATTTTTTAATATCATCCAGATACTAGAGTTTCCAGTATAGTATCCAGATACTTGAGTACTATAGTATCTAGAATCACTTTTTAATGTGATATCAATAATACATGTGTATAAAATAATATATATTCCTTGCAAATAAAGGTTTTATAGTCCATATACCTTTCATTGGTTTGTTTACATGTCTTTATTAGATTTTTATTAATAAAAAATTAAATGAAAAATTACAATACAAAAAATGTTTAATGTCACAACTATAATAAAAGATGCTATTTAGTTATAAAAATGCAGACCAAAATATGAAATAAAGAAACAAACACTCTTGACATTAAATATCTGCAGGACCGTTGATAATTATTTTATGGTGGTCCTGCCGAAGTTTTAGTAGTTTTTGAACCAATGGACTATTGTTAATTTCAAGCACTGATAATACAGATATGTAACACTTCTTTGAGCCACTTTATAATGTGAAATTGAATTTAATAATGCATATATTAAATTAACCTATTTGATATTTCTTACAATCATTTCTGCTATTTTAATGACTATTTTCAGTACCATAATTCATTGTGCTTCTCTCTAAAAAGTGTAAATCTTAGTTTCTTATTAATTTCCTACTTTATTGGATTTTTTCGATTCAATAATAGATATTATTTTGATTAGTGCCCATCTCTAAATGGTATTGTACTTTTTAGCTAGCATTGTGCTGTTTGTTATGATAAATCCTTCAAAGGTAAGATTTGACTGAAATTTCATTGCTTTGTACTACTCCCATTGAAGGACATTACGATTTTTCGAAAGCCACCTGCTTAAAGCTCAGAAAAATAATACTCTGAGTGTTAAGATATTCCACTATATATGAATTCAATTCCAGTAATTTCTTTTGATAAACTTTACATTTTTGGTGTTTAAATAATTGTGCATTATGTGGTTAATTGTTAAGCAAATTTTTATTTCGGCATTTAGTTTTCTTTGAGTGTAGAGGCAGGGGAAGAGTATAATAAAATCTGTTAATCTCCTTACTTTATTTTTTTTGTATATGGATTTTATTCCAGTTATGTATTTTGATAGACTGTAAATTTTTGATCTTTAAATAATTGTGCAAGTGTATATGGTTTAATTTGAAAAAAATTTTATTTCAGCATTCAGCTTTCTTCTAGTATGAATGCAGGGGAAGAGTATAATAAAACCAGTTACGTCGATCTTTATCCAGAGCGGGAAAACTTACATGATCAAGTACAAAAGCATAAGGAGCTGATGCAAAAATCTGTAGAGGAAGTAATTGTTTACAGTCATTTCTAAATATAATTTTTTTTTGTTTTGTTTATAATGAGCTGTATTATGCTTAAATAAATAATTTATTAATTATAGTATAATTTGTGAGCAAATACATGTAGTTGAGGTATTTTTAAATTTTTAATGACTTTAGAATGTAGTGTAAATCATCTGCTTTTGATTGATACATACCATACCTCATTTTATTGTTAACTATTTATATGTGTTGCAGATTCTTGAAGTATTATTTGCAAGCACTATATTTACGGTTTTCTTCTTTTTTTCCCCTATTTTATTCTTATTAAGAATCACTAAACCTGCAAATAATGTATCATTGAAGGCATAAAAATTGCATTTGAACTTTTCTTAAAATATTGATGTTATACAGGGTGGGTAGTGTTTTTAAAAAGTGCTTAAAGGTGCTTATTTTTGATTTACATTTTTAAAAGTACTTTTTTTATTCGAGGTTTGTAAAAAGTGCTTAATTTTTTATCTTTCAAAAAGAGATTTTTTTTTCTTTGCTGCATCAATTGTCGTTCTAAATTACAAAAAGAATGTACGATTTTCACAATTTTCTCTGCAAAATTTGTTAGAAGCAAGTTACTTTATCATAATTATGTAAAGTTTTTGAAAATGTTTGTGAATTTTATTGATTTTTATGTTTATAAATTAAGAACTTTAAACAATCGAAAAAAATAATTTTTATTACTGCACAGATCCTAACAAGGATTTTTTTTTTTTGGAAAGTGATTAAAAATATTCATTGAGTGCTTAAAAAGTACTTAAAAGGTGCTTATTTTTTGTTGAAAAATCTTGCAGTGTAAATCTGTTATAAAAAAATCATCAAAAAATTATTATTTTGAAGCTGTCAGCAACCCTTTATTTCACCGTAAAATTGTCAATTGTAACCTTAGATTGGTACACAATCGGCATGTTTTACTGTTGTAAAGAAATTCTTTTTACCATCCATATTAAATATTATTAAATCCAGTCGCAGTGAAACCTCACATTACCTCTTCTATATAGAAACCATTATGTATTACCATCTTGCAAAGCAGTAACTGTACACAAACAGTCATTTGTGGTCCATATATTATTTGCTATCTCTTCTAATCAGACATCGCCATATATATATCATTTCACCATTTTTAAAGCATATAAATTTATTGCCTTATCTGTAACTAAAATTTTTTTTAAAGGTATTTCACTATTGAGGAATCAATCATTCTCTTGTCACCTTCCTTTACCTTAAAAAAAATAAAGAAAAAAAATAAATGATACTGCTCCTGTGAAATATTTTGGCCTGTGATCTTTTTGATCTTTTCAAATGGATGAAACAGGTTTTGAGACCGAACAAGTTCAAGCGATACTTTTATGCTCCAAATTCCTCTTACCCACTTAAAATTCTTATTTCTAATCTATTGCTGGATTACAAAAAGAGAACAGAAATCTAGTCATCTTGTTCATGTAAATGTAAACTTTATGTTGGCACAAAAACCACAACTTTATATAGCCTGGTACCTTATAGATAGATATTATCGCTTTCTTTTTATTCTATGCATCACAGACAGATTACTTTCAAAGAGATATTGTCGCAATTACTTTCAAGTGATGGGGAAGTGTTAGAGTTGTAAAGCTAATAATTGGAATTCAACTGAGGAAGTGATGCAGGACTAAAAGCATCTAGTCAGTATCATATGACTAACTTGAATATATGTGTAAATAGGAAAAATTTTTTAATTTCCCTGTAGCTACATCTGAAATTATGTATATATCTATCAAATTTCTTCATTCATTCTTTTTGTATTGTAAATATTATAATTTAAGTTTAACTAAATATTAATGTGAATAGTTAATATCGATGATTCAATTATTTCTTTATCATTGCAATTATTTTAACAATAATTTATGACTTTGAATTTCATTGTTAGTGTACCTTTTCTGTAAATGGACTGCTCTCGTACATAGTCATTTTTTTTTCAGTCCTAAACCGAGATTTTATTTATATTAATTTTAAAAGAATATTAAATTTTTAGATTGACTCTAGAAATGAATTGTATCAAATTAACTAATTTGAAACAGCTAAGATAAGGACCATTTATTAAATTTATTTAGAGTATTTTTTATTTATTTTATCTGTAATATTTTATTTTTTGGGAAACATACCGGTAGCAATTCTGTATTATAGTAATAATTATATTATAATCTATATAGTATTATATAATAATCTATAGTATTCTGAATAAATGTTTCAGCTACTGCAGCTTAATGAAATTAAACAAATTTATGAGAAAAAAAAAGCTTCAATATTATAACTTTGCAAGAGTAGCACTTGAGTATTAAGTAAAATATGAAGTATCATAATACTTTTTTTATTATAATTAATATTAGTTCTTTATTTAAATTTTTGTTGCTGTTTCTCAAAATAGAATGCAGAGAAGAGCATAGTTTTACAACCTGGATTCGAAAAGCTTGAAGAGGTTCCTGTTTTTCAACTTAAACACAAGAGAAGAAAAGAAGGATTGGTATGAAAATTTCTTACATCTTATTGTGTTTTTTTTTTTTTTTTTTTAAACCTAGGATAATTGCAACATATATCTCATTTAATTTGGTGGTTTATTATTACATTGTTTATTATTATATTTTATTTGTTGGTTATGATTTTATTTTTTATGGTTTATTTAAATTTTTATACTACTTTTTTTAAAATCATATTCTAGTTTATGCTTTTTCGAATTTTAAAAGATTGATTTTAGCATGCTTAAATTATGATAAACATATGCTCTAGTATATTGTTCCTAATTAGGGATTCTTAAATCTTGTCAGAAGTATTTTCCTATGATAATTTAACATTTGATGATAATTTTCACAAGTTATTAGGGCTAAAAAAGTTTTCAATCTTACTTTAAATTAATAATAATAATAATAAAAAAAACAAAAAACTATGAATATGTCATCAACAACAAAATTATGTAGCTTTCATTTGTCATCTTTTCCTTTTTACTATATTGTGAATTCATTGAATAGTTCATAGAATATTCTTAAGTTCAAAAAATATAAATTCAAAAATCTGTGGTTTGAACTTCTGTGAAGAGAAGTTTGTAGGCAAATGCAACTTCAGAAGTTTTAAGTTTAGTCTAGGGAGAGGTCATGACTAAACTATCGACATTTTACAAGAGAGAAATATGAATTTAAGATTGTGATTGGGATTTTTAATCTATGTGAATACATAGATTTCATGATTTAATATAATGATTGGCTATTTATATCAAATAAATGTCTATGTCTGAAATATAATAGACACTGTATAGCTTATAATATTTGTTTGAACTATGATTGGAATTTCTTATCAAGTTAATTTATTTCTTCCTTTTCTGCTTTTAAATAAATTCCAGCCATAGTTAACTTTTTTATAATTTTTTTTTAAATTTTGGACATTATGTGTTTTTAAAATGACAAGTCTGAATAGGGTGACTTTAACTATAACCATCTAGTATATAAATTATTAAAAATATATGCTTTTAAAAGTATTTTAAAATATATGTTAATTTGTATTCCCCCCCCCTATAGTGTAGTTTGTTAATATAATTTTCATTAACAATCTGAAGCATTCTTTTTCCAATATTTTTATTAAAAATTGACTAATTTGTGTTTCAAATTATGTGGAGCAAAAATATTTATATATTTATTTTATATTATTCTTTTTAATTAGGTTTTGTTGACAATTAAAATTTAATATGCATAAATTTTTAAGTATTTTTCTAATAATGACAGGAGACTCTTTAATTTATAATATTTATTTTTATTCTTGTTCTCTTTTGTTCTCTGTTTTTATTCTTGTTCTCTTCTAAAATTTTATATTTTATGTTTATGCATTATATATATTTATTATATATATTTATTATATATATTTATTATATATATTTTTATTATGTCTATTTTTATTATAAGGACACAAACATAAGTACAATTTCAGCAGGCCGTGATAGCCTGGTTGGTAGGGCGCTGGGCCCAAGTCCGAGAGTTCGTACGTTTTAACCCTGCCAGCCAAAGACTCCCCGTGTGGTTGGTGGCTGATGCACGTTAAAATTCTGTCGATTCGCAAAGTCCTCCATGTTCCCATAACAAATCGATACCTCTGGGGGTACTGGATTGGAGATCAATCGTTCTCTAATTCAGGTCAAAATTACGATCTGTGGATGTATGAATGGGTCCGCCTTACAAACAGATGTGACATATGATGTGGCTGAAGTCGAACTCCTGGCCATAGATGGTGACACTGAAAAACAAGAATCGCACACGCTGCCTTAAATTTGCTCGGTTTCACCAAGCAGGCTTGCCCGTGTGGCAAGTGGCATTAGAACCAACAATTTCAGCACATGACAATTTTAAGGAACACAATGAAGTAATAAAATAAAGCCTTTCATTTTTTCAATGAACACAACTTTAACCTCAAAATTATAAAATCTTTTAATAAAAAAATGACTTTGTTTCGAATGCTAAGTGCACCTTCTGCAAGATTCTCACAATAGCACCTAAATCAGGGTGTCTACCCGTCTGGAAAACCTGGAAAAGTCAGGGAAATTTTTTGTTCTGGAAAAGTCAGGGAAATTTACATTTTTCTTAGAAAAACCTGGAAATTTTTTAAACTTTTTGAATAAAAAGATGGAAAAAAAATTTCCTTAAAAAACAGATTTGTATGAAAATGAAATTTCTTTTCAATTTTTTTTTAATTGGTAAAAGAAGCTACTTTTCTTTAAGCAGTTCTTTCTCCCTCCCTTTTGTTCACAACTATGAATTCCAGTCTCCCTTGGGGGTTGGATTTACCCCCAATTTCAGTTGTTTATTTCCTTTCTCCCTCCCTCCCTCAGGCAGTTATAAGCAATGGTGGGTGTGTCAATTGTAGGTTTGTCAAGCAATTTTAGGGGTGGTGGGTTCTTCAATTGACAATGAAAAGCTGCTTAGTTCTTACTTACCTATAAAAGATGAACTATTCCAAGTAAGGGTAAACTGGTTTTTAGGTTGTATTGCTAAATTTTACTGCTTAGGTGATTATTTGATTTGTAGAAATTTTTTTATCTTTTTTTTTTGTAAAAATCTGTTTTTGGTCTGGAAAATGTCTTCAAGGAAAACTGTGTTTAATTCTGATTGGTGTGATGAAAAACTTAACCCTAACTGGTCAAAATGGCTGAAACCTTATGAAAAAAATCCAGGTGCTGCTATATGTTCAGCATGTAACAAAACTATTTCTTTGAGCAATATGGGAAGACAAGCCATTATAAGTCACGAAAGAGGACCAAAGCATCAGAAAAATATTGGATTTAAAAATTCTTCAAATATGCTTATGCAGCAGTTTGTAAAAAAAACCTGCAATTAGTTCTTCAGTGCCTGTGAGTACAGCATCAATGCCTTCGAACAGTTTTTCTGTTCCTGTGATAGCAGAGTCAGTGCCCTCGACCAGTTCTTCAGTGCTTGTTAATACGGAGTCTGTGGAAGGAAATTCTTCTAAAGGTTCTAAAAAAATTATAGATAAATACTTCCTCAATGACCAAGTAAGTAAAGCTGAAATAATATGGTGTCTTCGCACAGTGATGACCCATTCCTCTTTTCGCTCAAATTCAGACTTGTCTGATATATTTAAAATGATGTTTCCTGATAGTGACATTGCTCAGAAATTGAAGCTGAAAAAAGACAAGACATCATATACAATTTGTTTTGGATTGGCTCCTTTTTTTAGAGATGAATTAATCGCTGTTCTTTCATCTTCAGATTTAGAATCATGCGTTGTATGTTTTGATGAATCATTAAACAAAGTTGTCCAGAAAGGTCAAATGGACATACATGTCAGGTTTTGGCAGAAAAATATGAATACCGTTGTAACACGTTATTTGACATCTGTTTTCCTAGGGCATTCAGATGCAGAATCTTTATTTAATGCTCTGAAAAGTTCTATACCTGATCCTGTTATGAAGAAAATACTTCAACTCTCTATGGATGGCCCAAATGTGAATCTAAAGTTGCATTCATTACTACAAAGTGATTTGCAGGAGCAATCTGGCTCTAAATCTCTTTTGAATATTGGTTCTTGTGGTCTTCATATTGTTCATGGCGCTTTCAAGACAGGACATAAATGTACTTCCTGGGATTTAAATAAGTTTCTCTATGCTGTCTTTAACTTGTTTAAAGATTCACCTGCCAGACGTGCTGATTTTGTGCATTTTACAAAAAGTAATGTCTTCCCCCTGAAATTTTGTTCTATTCGTTGGGTTGAAAGTTCAGCTGTGGCACAGAGAGCTTTAGAGATTTTGCCACCATTAAGAGTCTTTATCCAAAAGGTGGAAGCTGAAGGGATTGAACCAAATACAAAGACTTATGACACTGTAAAATCAATGCTAAAATGTACTGAGCTGTTAGAGGCAAAATTAGGCTTTTTTTTTTCTGTGTCATCATAAGTTTGCGGCTTTTTAATGAGGTTCCAGACTGATAAACCAATGGCACCTTTCTTGTATGAAGAAATGTACTTGATGCTTAGCAATTTAATGAGGAGATTTGTTAAAAAATCTGTTATAGAGCAGAATGATTCCGCAATGAAGTTGATGAAAGTAGATGTCACCCAAAAATGTAACCTTCTACCAATTACAGACGTGGACATTGGATTTGCAGCCAGACGTAGTCTTAAAGAAAGCAAAGCCACAGATACTGCTAAGTCTATTTTTAAGAGAGAGTGTCTCTTATTTTTACAAAAAATGACTCTAAAATTGATGGAAAGGAATCCGCTGCGTTTCAAGCTTGTGAGAGGCATAAGTGGTCTGTCCCCAACAATTATATCTGTTTCAAATTCATCCTGCATTAAAAAGATAGAAATGGCTTTGGATTGTTTCGTTGATTGCAATCAAATGTCAGCAGTCACTGCTGATAAAGTAAAATCAGAATTTTCTAAGTTTATTTAAGACTATCACGTTAGAAAAGAAATGTCGGAATTTAAGCGTGAGAGTGGAAGATTAGATGTCTTCTATTCTTCATTGATGGCTGAAAGCACAAACTATCAAAACTTGTTCGTTTTCATTAAAAATATTTTAATTATGTCTCATGGAAATGCTGCTGTGGAAAGTGGTTTTAGTATTAATAAAGCTTTGCTTATTGAGAACATGCAAGAAAAGTCAGTAGTTGCTTTAAGAACTGTATATGATGGTATTAGTAATGCTGGAGGTTTATTTAAGATAGATGTAACTAAAAAGATGATACTTGCAGCAAGAAATGCTCATAGTTGCTATCATGAAGAGCTAAAAGCAAAAAAACTTATGGAGAAAGAATCAGAAGAACTAGCAACTAAGAAAAAGCGGGCTGCTGAGGAAATAAAAGAACTTAAAGTGAAGAAAACGAAAATCCAGCAAGAAGCAGAGAGACAGTTAGCTGAACTTGATGGCATGATAAAGGATCTTTATCATTAATTTTATTTTTATTGTGACTTTTAACAAATTCAGATTTTGTCTTTGTTTATAAAAGTATATGTAGTTAAGGGGCAAATTGAAAATAATTTGTAAAAAGAAATTTGAATAAAATTTTTACCTTTCTATTACTGTAGTATTTAAATCTTATTTTGTGTTTTTTTAAATATAAGAATTTTATTTTTGTTTGAAAAAATTGTATTCTTTAATTTAAATTCCTTTTTAATAAATAAGGCTATGGCTTAAGTTATTATGCTTGAATGTGTAGTTTCATATTAAGGAAATTTTCAAAATACAATTTATACTAAAAATAAATTTAAAAAGTGTTATTTTAAGTCTTTTGCTTGGTTTTTAATTTCGAATATGAATTATATTCAATTATCAATATCTGAGAAGTGGTTTTGTTTTGGAAAACTAATATCTTTATGGCTCTAATTCCCTAAAGGGAAACCTGGAAATTTCTTGATTGATGTATGGAAAACCTGGAAAAGTCAGGGAAATTATAAAAAAATTTTGAGTAGACACCCTGCTAAATGCATCCAATTATATTATTAAATGATTTACAATGTAAGAGTTATCTGTTTCATATTATCATAAAGCATATTTAGTTTCCTGCAAATGACTTGTTGTTGACTTGTTATGTGTCTCTTGTTACCTATTATCTATCATTCAAGATAATGATGTATATTAAAAGTAATAATCTGTCAAATATTAATTAACTTTGTAAAATATTTTATTTTTAGAGTTTTTTCTTGCAAAACCGTACTTGTCATTGTTTTCTTAAAAACATCACAGATTCACTCTTTTGTTGCAATATTTAAGAAAAATAAAATTCTTATTTGTAATTTACTTGGCTGGTCGAAAGATTTTAAAGAAAGTGTACTTTTCTTTTAATCCTGTTTAATTATTTAAGTAGAATGCGTGAGATTTAAGCAACAATGTGTAGTAATATAAAAATCAACATAGCAACAATATATATTTTTAAAAATTTTGTACATAGTAATTTTCTAAAATATTTTTTCCAAGCTATAAGGCAACTATTTCTCCTTTTTATTTATTTAAAACTAAGCTAATAATAATTCATAAATATTTACCTTATTTTCTATATTAATAAACTAAGGCCAGTGATACTCAAAGTGTGCACTTTGGTAGATGCATTGTTCTAATTAATGTTAAAGAAAGGACAAATAAATTAATGTATATATTAAATAAAAGATTAAATAATTTAATTTTTTTGTCCTACATTTACGTAAGTATGCAAAGCTGTGAAAAAATCTTAGATAAAATAAAGTTTTTAGGACATTCTGTGTTATAGGTCTCATATTTCATTTTAAAACCCTGCTTGTTACTGTCTGTATTCACGAATATTTTGTTTTTGATAAGTTACATTTATTTGTAAATTTTATGTATTAAGTGAATAATCTAATGCATTTTTTTAATACATTTTGATAGTTTTTTTTTCCATATCAAACAAAAATATTCTTGGTACATTCCTTAAAATATTGAACCAAAGTTAGTTTCAATTACAAAAATAAAAAAATATTCTGCCTTAAAAACATTTTTGTTTAACAATTTTTCATTTATACAATTTCAGCAATTTTAATCTGCAATTCTATAAGATATGTTGTTTAATTTATAAACTTCCTGTTCTTGTTACAAATTTATAACTTAATTCATTGCAATAACAAAAAAGGTAATACTGTTTTTTTTTAATTAAAAAAAAAGAAGAGAGAAATAGCTGACAAATTGTTAGGATTACCTGTTAAGGAAGAAAAATACCCTAAATTACATAGTAATTTTCACAGAAGGAAGTCTTGTGCCTCTTGGATGAAACATCCTATGAAATCAAATAGAGACTGGGAGAAAAAATTAATTTAAAAAAATAAGTGAAAAAAAAATAATACAGGCTAAACAAGTAGGACTTCATGATTCAAATATTTATAATTTTAAAGATTCATGTTGTACAGAATTAATGTGCCTGATAATTTTATAAATTTTTTTATCTGTATAAAAGATTTATCAATACAAATAAAATTTTTATTAATTTGTCATAATAATGAAATCTGGAAAATCATTGAGTTATTAAAAATTCAACATGAGATTAATTTTCTTTTTTTAAATTTTGAAATAAGGAATGCAGAATATTAAGAATTATTACTTTCTTTTGTTTTCATATTTTATTGGCATATTTTTTAAATGCTTATTTTTTAAAAGTATAAATGCTATATAAACGTTAGTAAGTATAATATTTAAAATTTATATAGTTATCTTTTATATTAAATATATTTTTCCGGTGTTTGCATTGTATAACACTTTTTTTCTTCATATGTAATCATATCAGCCATTCTCATTCTACAGTAATTGCGATTCCTGATTAACAATACTGAATTGGTTTCAAAAAAATAACTTTCGATATAACTGAACTATTTTTCTTTTCAGTTACATAAATTGCAATTATATATACAGTGAAACCTCCTGTTATGGACACTCCTGCAAAACGGACGCCTCCCAATACAGACATATTTTTAATTCCCCGGGAATCTTCTATGAATAAACCATTACGTACATTCTCCGCAAAGCGGACACTCCCGTAACCGGACGCGGACAGTCATTTTGGTCCTGAAACGTTGTTTTTTATCTCTACAAACCGGACACTACTTTTTCTAAATAAATTGCAAGCTAAAAAAATTCAACTTTTCACCATTTTTAAAGCATGTAAATAAAACTTTTTGCCTTATCCATAACTAAAAATATTGTTAAGCTATTTCACCACCGAAAAATCAATCTTTCTCCTGTCACCTTGCCTTATCTTTGTAAAGAAAGGAGAGAAAATGGTACTGCACTCCTGAAATAATTCTGACATCGGCATCTTTTGATCTTTTCATCTGGACCACACAGGTTATGAGACCCCTCAAGTTGAAATGACTTCTCTCAATGCTTCTTCCCCATTGAAAATTTCTTTAATTTTCTTATCAATTTGAAGACTGTATTTAACACAACTGGGGTAAAAAAAAAAGAACAGAAGTATAATCTTTGAGGTGTTTATATAAATGAAACATTTATTCAGACACTTGATAGCTGATCAATTGTGAATAATCATCTCCATAGGTCCTCATGACTTACAGGTATGCATTACTTTTTTTTCTGTGAATCATGGGAGGTTTATTTTCCAAGAAGGTATTAACCATGTTCCCTATCAAATGATAAGTAGGTGTAAGGGGATGTGAACCTAATAATTGAAACGGACTGAGGACAGTACGCTCCTATTTGGTATCATATGTCTAACTTGAGTATCTATGCTAATAGGAAAATTATATTTATTTATCTGTAGCTACATCCAGAATTATGTATTTATATCAAACTTCTTTATATATTCTTTTTTATCTTTCTTATTGTTTAAATAAATACTCTTGTAGATATTTACAGTATCCTTGTAGATATTATTTTATTATTTCTACATCTTTGAGAATATTCTAAAAACAATTTACGGTATTAAATTTCGTTATTAGGGTACCCTTCCCGTAAACGGACAACTCTCATAAACGGACAAATTTTTTGGTCCCATGAATGTCCGTTTAACGGAGGTTTCACTGTATATAAAAGAAATGTAATGTTATTTTGGTAGAAAAATATCATATAAAAAGCAGACAAATGACTCTTAAAAAAAGTTCTACATTAAGTTAGCTAAAGGAAATGTAGTAAAAGTAAGTGAAATTTTTTTTAGTTTTTAAAGGGAGGAAAAATTTCAAAATTTGGCTGAGAAATATCTTGTATAAGACTTATGAATATTGTGAAATAACTCACACATTTCATTTATTTATTCCAGTTTTAATGTCAATGTGCATGTGTTTTCTCTTGAAATTGATGGGTATTGTGTATTGCATCATATTAATATGCTACTCATACTATACTATCTTTCTTATTTTTTTATTCAATTTAGAAAGAGAGAGACAAGACGAAAGGATTTTCTTGGTTTAATATGCCCGCTCCTGAGATGACTGATGAAAAAAAGAATGACCTGTTAGTAATTCAAATGAGGCAAGCTTTAGATCCAAAGCAATTCTATAAACGCAGTGCTGTGAAAGGCAATCCTAAATATTTCCAAGTAAGTTTTTTTTTCTCTACATCTTTTTGGAAATTCAGGCTTTTTACACATTAGTAAAATTATATTGCTAATCATCTTACTCTCTTTCAATGCAAAACATTTGTGTTAATTTACAACAAATATACCAAATTTACAACAAATATGTGCATAAATTTTAATGAATTTATTGTGTTTATAAATAATTTTATTTCAACATTAAATTTCATTACTTTCAGCAATAGTTTCAATAGTTAGAATGTATTAAAAACGTAACATTTCTTTAAAGTTGATATTCATATGCAGATTGATCCTCAAATTCTTCGGTAGGTTAGTTTTATTTAGTGACAAATATAATAAGCTCTGAAGAGAAAAGAAAAAATTTAGGAATTAAAAGCTCTTGCTTAGAATCACTCAAAAATTATTCTTTATTTTTTTTATAGATTTCAGTCAAATTATGTTACTTAATAATCAGTTTGTAGAAAAAAGTTGCTGGATATTTTTAAGTCAAATTTCAGGTGCTAAAGTTGTAAAGATTTTCTTGTTTTTTATTAAAATTCAAAATTTGTTTAAATTATTCAGTTTAGTTAAGTAATTTGATCTCCGTAAGTTTTCATGCAAATCTCGATTTAAAAAAGCCTGCCTGATATAGTTTAGTGTTTAACAAGTTAAAGGTAAAGGTTTTCTCTCTTTGATTTTTTTTTAGCCAATAAACGACTATCATGCTTATTTTTATTTCCGAGACATTGTACAGTATGTTAATTGCATTCATTTTTTATGCAAAAATATGTATTTTTGGAGATAGTTACCAAAAAATAAAAATTTAAAGATATGACTTAAACTACTTTAGTGTCCTACATAAATTTTTTTTAAAAATTTAGGTTTGGCATAAAAAGGTATATTAATTCACAACATTACGTTAGAATTTTTTTTAAACTTTATATTATTAGAAATACATGAAAAAAAAATTCTTATAACATGAAAATGCCTTTTTATAAATTAATCTCTTAAAAAAATTGAAATGGTCTAATCACAAAGCATATTTAAAAGTAACATTTTAAGAATAAAATTTTCGTCTTTCTGATTGATCTGTTTTGGTAAAATATTTTGGCATGATCTATTAGTTTAGTATTTTAACCATCTTTTACTTTTGAAGTGGTTGATGTTAGTCATTTTAAGAAAAATTTGTGTCCAAGCAAAGAAGAAATGTTTTTCTCTGTAATGTGCAATTCAACTTAGTAATTTAACTTTTGTGTATTTATAGTTAACCTATCCAATTTATCAAACGTTTCAAATCTGGTAACTCAAATTGGCACTGCCTAATTTTGCTGAGTAAAAAGGAAATTTTATTGATACTATCTATTGTCAAATCACCATAAACACATATTTTCTTGTCACTATCATTTGTATGAAATACACAGATTTCTGCCGTGCAATCCAACATGTTGGATACAAATACTACATGTTGGATACAAGAACTGCATGTTGGATACAAAAAATCAGTGTCATCAATGAGTGACCCTCGGAGTACCTAGTTATCAGAGTTGAGCCAAGTGTAGTTGATTACAAATAATCAAAAACTTGCTATAAAAACATAATGTTATTATTGCTAATAATTAGGATTAAAGTGTTATCAGTTACTTGCAGTTATATGTATTTTAGTAACTGATTGCTGGTAATCAATATTATTGCCATTAATAACTCAGCATTATTGTTAGTGCATGTAGAATTAATTATATTAAAAAAAGTTAAACAAAACACAGGAAGATAGCAATCGCAGTGCACATCTAGCAATCTTTCTGATATTTCAAAAGATATTGCTTTGTGGAGAAATTTTTTATGCACATTGTGTAAATTTAACTAAACACTCATCTTTACTCTCTGGAGAACCATACAAATTATCAAGTAGCAAACTAGATAGCTCATTAGTCACTATACTAGTTTTTTTAAGTAAGAATAAATTCTGTTATAGATGTGCAGTTATCCATGTTCTGCATTTTGAGTTTTTCAAAATATAAAATACGTGTAGTGCTTAGTGAGTTTTACAGCTAAGAATCTTGTAATATGATATAATAACTTTAAATTTATTTTGTGGTTATTTAAAAATTTTCATCAACATATTCTCCAAACTCAGGGATGAGATTAGCCAAAAGGCAAAAAAGCTGAATTTCTACACTAGTAAATTTTACGCAAGCGCAACCTTTTAATAATAAATTCCAGGCAGTTTAAGATAATAAATAATGTGTTGACATACAATTGTGTACTAATCTATTATTATATTGATACTTAACATTTAGTGAAAATAAAAATTACCAATTGAAAAAATAAAGCTGGAAATTATATTTTTCCTCAGTTCACATAAGAGACTTATTACTTGAAAAACTACCTGGTTTAGCAAATTAAAACTACTGAGTATATACATAAATATTTCATTTCTTTTAATAAATACTGTTATGTGATTTATAGCAAATGTATCAGTAATATTACTTTTTAAATTATTTTGGGGGAAAAAAAAACTACAATGGGCAGAATCATTATGTTCATATTATAGTCTAATCTAACTAGAGCCCTGTGAAACATATCAATAACGGTGAAGTAGAAATATATAGTAACTCCTTAACATACAAAATTGCTATTTTAGTTTGAAAAATTAAATGACAATCAGCAACTGTTTAGATAATTATTTTTCATTTGATAAGAATTTTGCATTTTATAGCATAAATAACAGCAATTATAATTTAAAATTTTGATGATGAGTTAATTAACTCCTTTTCCAAAAAAAATTTTCTAATCATTTACTTATATCAAAGT